GAAGGAATGTTCATTTTCATTAGTCGTGATTCGTGAAGGCACCGGGCACCAAAACCCATACAAGAAGCAATTATTAAGTTACCAGAATTTATACGATACTAAAGTGGATTGGTTATATATATATACATATATATATATTGATTGAACTTATTATTAATAAAATCAAATAATAAGACAACCCCTGTTTTGATGTTTGTTAGCAAATTAGTGCAAAATTAGTGAAATGTTAAATAAGTTTGACACATCAAATTCGTTAATTAACTTATTCATTAAGAACTTATTTAAAAGGTTTTATGAGCCCAAAACATTAATTCTGAAAAAATTCAATATATGAGTGTTTTAAGAAAAGAGTATTCGTAAAATAACATGTTAACATAATTTTTTAAAAATAGTTATACAATCCGTTATTTATTAAGTCATTATTTACAAACGACAAATACAATCCGATAGTGAAATAAATTATTATAATATACTATTAGCTATACACTAATACAACTACATATCCGCTATAAGCTAATAGCAACTAGCACCAAATTTATTATTATTTAAAGGAGCCTAAAATTTTGTAGGAAGGGAGAGAGAAAGAAAACAAAAGAGATTATTTTATGTGAAATAAATAAACCATTCGGAAAATCGACACGGGCAAACTTTCGAGTCACGTCCAAGTCAATCGTCGGGTCATCGAATCAATTGCTAAACTGAATAATTAATCTTAAATTTGAAAATTATATATACTATCTTCAACATATAAATATACAAAAGTAATAGAAATAAATATTTTGTATATAAAATTTATACGTTAAAAACAGAGACGGAGGGCCAAAGGGGCCCGGGCCCCCCCTGATTTTTTTAAGTTAATATTATATATATAAAAAGAAAATACAATAAAATATGTATAAAAATGCTAAAAAAATGTTCAGTTAATAAGCTCTCATCAACAAAAATATTATGTATTGTGCTTCAAAAATTTCAATTTAAATCAATTTTTAATCCAAAAAAACTTATTTTTTCATAAATTATAGACGTTGGACTTAAAATATAAATACATGAAATCTCCTTTTTTTTTTAGATTTTTATTTTTTTTGTAAGTTTGAGGTTGATATGGATTTTAAGTATTATTAAAAATCTGATGGTAAACATGTCGATATTTATATTTACAGTAAATACATTTTTATATGAACTAAGAGTTTTGACTTAAACTACAAGCTCGTTATTTAACATTTAAAATCGGGCCACCCTGAATAAAGTTCCTAAATCCGTCACTGGTTAAAAGTGTTAATAATATTATATCTTATAATAACTATGGTTTTATAATACTTATACCATAGTTTTGAAACCCGGTCCGAAAATCGACTCGGGCAAGTCTCCGGGTCAACGGGTCAATTGTTGGACCGGATAATTAATTTTAAAATTTTTAAAATTATATATATAGTATTTTTGACATATAAATATACATAAATATAACAAAAATAAATGTTTTGTATATAAAATTTGTACATCAAAGTGTTAATAGAATTGTATCTCACAATAAATATTTTCAATATCAATATATTTACATAGTTTTTAAATTTTATATAAAAAAATATATAGGGACCGGATCAACCGGGTTGACCCGGCCGGGTCAATGACCCAGGTTGATCGGGTCAAGGCAGGGTTGGTCGTATTTTGACCGGGTCCATTGCTGCCCGGTCCAAATAGCTCACCCGGACAGGTTCCGACTCCGGGTCGACCCGTTGGGCCGGTCCGAGTTGAAAAACCATGACTTATACACTGTTTTTTTAAATAAAAAAATTAAAAACAGTCAAAATTAAAATAAAAAGATATGTCCAAAACAAGTTCATTCGACTTGGTCGATACTCGGGTCAACTGGTTGACTGCAACTGGATCATGGCCAGTTGATCGGGTTTTACCGAAATCGAAATCACCCCATCCAAAGCACCAAAACCCGGATCGGTCCCAACTCTAAGTTGACCGGGTCAAGGGTCTACCTGTCGGGTAGTCCGGCTTGAGAAACTGTGAATAAAAGTATACTTGTGCATATATCAATATATATATAAAAGTAATTTTGAGAAAAACATGAAACTGTGGGCATCAGCCGCCCGCTTGGGTACACATCACACTCTTTTAGCTTGTAATAAAATCTTGCATAAATTATATTCTTTTCATTTTAATTTTTTCGCTTTTAAATCACTTTATATCCACTTTCTTCAATATTCTACCATCCGTACGGTTTTGCTTCTCGAGGTGCGGATAAAGAAAGGGAGACAAATATTGAATAAGTATAGTTTTACCTCAAATGTTATTTTATTGGAAAGGAAAGCATTAATACAGAATGAACTCTTCAAACTTTCTAGTTTAGTAATCCTGATCTACTATCCAATATACGTCAAAGCGGAAGGAGATTAGTATATTGATGGATATTGTAAATATTATTTTGATCAGTAGCTAGTGGATACATATTTTTTATTTCGTCATTTTATTGTAGAAGTGTGAGATATAGTACAAACTTGGATTGTATATTCTCAACAGATTATTTGTCGAAATTTGTCAATTAATTAGGGAAAGTTAAAAATGGGAGTACAGAATTCTTAATAAATCACCAGCTTGCTAAGTAAGCTAAATAGCTAATGAAAGGGAAAAAAATGTGGATGTGGAAACGAGAAGTTTCAAACTTCCCCAATTTCCCCAACTCCAATTGAAAATTGATACAAAATGATATTGAGAATAAACAAATAATAAATAAATAAAAGTACAGCACTAACCTTTTGCTGGAAATTGTTGCTGTGGTAAAAGAAGAGAAAAAGTCGGAGCAGACCGCCGTGCACCATGACCTGTTCTTCCTCATCGCCGCCGCAAAACGAACCGAAAATCCCCTTTCCGCCGTCACTGTGCAGATCCACCGAACTCCGGCAGGTTTCCTCCGAGCAATCAACCACCTGCACGCCGGAGAACGCCACGTATGCCACAGTTCCCACCTTATCCACGGCGAAGCTTCGCGGGACGGCGTCGTTGGCGTGGCGGCACCGCCGCCATGATTCCTCCAGTAGCGGCGTTGACGCCAGATACGCCGCTAGCGTCTCGCTGGACTCGAACCTGCCATTTGATAAATTAGTGCCGCAGGAGCAAATATATCATTCTTTTTTTTTTTTGCATTAAAAGAAAATTAGGTACAGGACAATTCAAAGTCAATTTGATTTTAATTTCATACTGAGAAGTTTTGGGTTCCATTCAAGCTGTTTTGAATTTTCGCCTACTTTTCTTTTTCTCCGTCCCCTTGGAGGTGGTACACTGGTACTGATATCTATGTTGAGGACTATTTTTGGGGCCTCACACCGGTTTATTATTACATGTTTATTATTATATGATGACGTTTTATCTTGATATTTCAAAAATTGTGTTAAACCCTCTCGTATTTAATATCTGCATGCATATTCGCTATTTGATGTTGACGCCGTTACTTTAGTGCTGGCGTTACTTTTTTGTCGAATTTACCATTCCACCTTTACTTATCAATGAATTTACCATTATGCCATTATTGTTAAATATGTTGACTTAAAAATAAAGTACCAATGGTGGGGATTGAACCCATGACCCTTTGGTTGTAAAAGTGAATTATCCACCAACTGGACTACTAATCACTTAGATATAAATGTGATTTCATATATATATATATAATGTCGGACGAAAATAATATAATAAATAAATATATTCTAAATTATAAATAATATAATGATTGCACAAATATTATTCTTTATTATAAAAAATAAAACGATTCTTTAAATATATATTAAATTAAAAATAATAAATGAGTGAATAAATTGATTCTACATTATAAATAATATAATAATTTAGTATGTAGATTTTGTAATAATTGAATAAATAGATTCAAAATTATAAATAATATAAAAATTAAGTAAATATAATCTAAATTATAAGTAATATATAATTAAGTAAATAGATCATATAAGATAAATAATATAATGATAATTAAAAATTATAAATAATATAATAATTCAGTATATATATTTTATAATAATGGAGTAAATATATTCTATATTATAAAAAATATAATAATGGAATAAATTATATTTTATTCTAATTTAATTTTTATTTTATTTTATCTTAATTATATTTCCTTATAGTTACTTCTTTTTTTATTATTTTATTTTTTGTTTTGATTAAGTTTTTCTCTGTGTTGTTGTTCTAAATAAAAGTGGTGCTAGGTATGTTCCACAAAATGATGGTGGCGCAATGGTTGGAAGCTCTGCTATGCAGCTTTTGGCCCAAGTTCGAATCCTAGGAGCAACAAATCATTTTTTGTCAATAATGGCATGAAAAACAAGGGGCAAAATAGTAAATTTAAAATAAAAAATAAGAAAAAAGTGAATAATTATCGCATAAGACCAATGTGTACTGCACGCGCCGTCAAGTTAGACGGAGGGGGGGAATCGTGCAACAGTTAGTTAAATACNTCATATTTATATTAAAGTTTATTTCATATTTATATTTTTATTTATTTAAATGAAATTATCATTTTATTATTTATTAAGTAGTAATATATTTATTATTTTCAAATTTCACATTTAATTTCATTTAATTTATTTTTTATTTTATTTTAATTATATTTTTTTATAACTACTTTAGTTTGTGATTACTTTATTTTTTTATTTTTTTGTTTAAATAAAATTATTAGTTTATTATTATATTAATTAGTAATATATTTCTTATTTATTATTTTCCAATTTAACACATAGGTTTATTCTAATTTAATTTTTATTTTATTTTATCTTAATTATATTTTCTTATAGTTACTTCTTTTTTATTATTTTATTTTTTGTTTTGATTAAGTTTTTCTCTGTGTGTTGTTCTAAATAAAAGTGGTGCTAGGCATGTTCTACAAAATGATGGTGGCGTAGTGGCTGGAAGCTTTGCTATGCAGCTTTTGGCCCAGGTTCGAATCTTGTTGCCCACATTTCATACCATTTACGTTTTGCACATAATTCAAGGGTAAAACAATAATTTCTACCACTTTGGGGTGAAAAAATAAAGAGAAATCTCGACCTCATCTCTTCAGGAAAACAGTTTGAGATTTAGAATCGGGGGTGTCGATCTTACACGAATAACAAACAAATCTTAAACATTCAAATCACGATTGAAGTTTGATTGAATTATTTAAAGATTAGAATAACAATTAAATAACTAGAGAAATAACAGAAGTTCTAGAGTGTGGGAAAATCTCATCAAGTACTAAACCTATGTTGAATGCTTATTTGTTCGATTACGTAATTCAACAAGCCTACACGTATAGATCTAGGTTACTTGTACCAATAAAAAAGAATATAAATTATTAAATAAACATATAACAATAACAAAATCCGACGCCAATCGGTTAGCGGTATTGTGTATAAATTGGCCAAAATTTTAAAAGTATCGACGCTATCCGAATACAACTTTGATATATTTTTCAGACGTTAATACAAAATATATTTTTATAATATAACTAATATGTTATTTCAATTATTTAGATTAATTCGGTTAAACAACTAAATAAATCAATTAATTTAGTTCAATTTTTTAATTGGATTTGAGACAAAGTTTTATTGTTTCGGATAACACAATAACCACTGGCATTGTGCACAATATGGTTAGACGAATTGCACATTGATTATTGACAAGCTGCTCAACAGCAATCGAATTAAAACTTTTGGTTCGTTTTTTATAGTTCAGTTTGTTTTATTGTTTTTACTTTTAAAAATTCAGTTACTTCTGACAAAAAAAAAGATATAAACTATTAATTGAACATATACAAATATCAAATATATCAATTCAATTGATTGACAATACAATGTATATATTGACCGATACTTTTCAACATGTCGGTGACAACCGAATACACGTTTAATATATTGTTATTCGGTAATATATTTTTCAACCCATGTGATACATGTTTAAAAAAATCGATCGTTCACTTTTTTCAAATGTTCAAATCACTTATTTTGGTTTTCAAAATTCGACCGCTGAACAATATTATACATTCTGTATTTTTTTTAATATTTAATGTGCGTATACACACACTATATTGTACATTATACTGAATATTGTTGTCCATTATTAATTTGTTGTTCAATTATACATTATACCCATATACTAAATTGTAATAAATTGAAATTTCTGAAATTGCAACTAAAACATTGGAACTTTTATTAAATCGCCAATTTGTCTCACGTGCTAAATTGAAATATATTGAAAGTTAATAATATGCAATTAGATCCCTCAAACATATCAAATTTCCAACAAAAACCTCCCAAACTCTTTAAAAAAAACTGCAAAATCGATCCATATTCCTCAACCCTCAAACACATTTTCGATCGTCTTTTCCAACCACTGCTATAAACCCCGACACCTTCATCCTCTGTATCTCGAGGATATAGCAACAGTCGCAGCCGCCAAAAATGGTGGCGTTGTAGACGGCCGGTAGGTGCAAGCTGGACGATTTTTTGTTCGCCGACAGAAATGGTGGATTGTTTTGAGGAGATACGGCAAGGTCAGGACGTTGGCCGTTTTTCCTTTTTTTGGTCGCGCCGGCAGTGCCACGCGTGGCTGTTGGCAACGGATGGACTGGATGCTGCAGCGGGGTGGTGACGGAGGAGACATGGCCAACAGGCCTGATAATGTGGCTGACGGCGGCAGGGGCTGAGAACGCAACACACGTGCGGTGATGGAGGCAGTTACATTCTGGGCTGGCGGAGGCGATGATTGCGACAGCGGCACGCTGGTAGCGATGATGGGACTGAGCACGCTACTGACATGTGGAGGTGGCAGGACCTGATGAGGCCATGACGGGTGTGAGTGTGTGCAGGGTGTAATTGTGTGAGAGAGTGTGATTAGTTGGGTTTGTGGCGAGTCCAATGTGAATATGTGATGTCTTTTTTACCAAATGTGTATTTGACCACAAAAGTACACTTATTTACAAAATTGTTATCACATGTTTGATTGTTATATTTAAAATTTGACTCGATCATGACCATTGATATGTTAGATACAATTATATAAATTTATTCTTATTTCTTTCACTATCTACTAGTATCATATGTTATCTCTCTCTCTATATAAAGAGATTATGGACCTATCTGCTCTTTTTGATTTTTTATTTTTTTTCCTTATCCTGACTCATATAGATGACCAATGTGCTGAGGTAACCAGCATAGATTTCATAATAAATAGATTTCATAATAGATAGATGACCAATGTACATGAACTGCTCATGACGATTGTTTCATACAAAGTTTACTTTTTTTTTTCCTAAGTACATATGCAAGATAACGTTTGTCACAAAACAGTTGAGCATATATAACATTGGTCAAAAGCACTGTTATTTCAGCAACACATTGGTCTAAATTCACATTGATGGGAATAGCTGGACACAACTTCTTCCTTCACTTTTCGCATTTCAAATCTTCATTCTTTTTACATCGCTTTCAGGGACATTAATGTCATTTCCGTTGCCACCATATGTCGTTCCGGAGACCTGCAAAGAAGTGGCATCATCTGCTTCATCCAACAAAGACAGAGTACCATCCACATTTTTTCCAGTGTTTTCTACTTTTCATGCATGCTTAATGTTAATAGAGATAGATAATAAAAGTAAGAGAAAACAACATTAAATTAAACAAACATCATGTTTAGTTATTGTTGGTCCAAGTAAGATGTTTCGATTTTGTTTAGATTTTTTGAATTGATATGATTAATTTTGAAAAAAGTAGTATGACTAGTTAGAGAGATTTTGAGTTTATATTAACATAATATTTAAAATAAAATAATTAAAATTTGATTTGATGTAAAAGAATGAGATATATGAAGAAAATTATGAGTGGGTGAATAGTGAATTAAAATTGGTATATATATATATCTATATATATATAATTGTTATCCAAACATTTCATAAAACTTCAATTTTTTCTTCCAAAAGACGTTACTTTGCATTAATTAAGTTTTTATAATTTTTATTTATTTTGTTATATAATAAATACTACTAACAAATCATAAAGTTACAATAAATGATATTATAATTATTTTTTTCTTCAAAATATTTATTTAAATTATTATTATTATTATTTTTTGTTTTAACTCATTAAACAAGTTTTTTTATTAGCATTAGTTCTTTAATTTTTATGATATAACCAAACTTTTTAAAATTTTGTACACAATTGCTATAATAATAATTTCAATATTGTTTTATCTAATCAATTGTTCAAAATAAAAAAAGATAGCAAAATTTATATAACCGAAATCGATATAAAGATTAATATGTAATTTAGTAGTTTATGTTTATTCGTTCATTTTTACTAATGATAAAATTTATAAAATGTGACATTTCCATCATCTAACTTATGATTTAAATGTTACATGCACATACATATAACGATATATAAAATTTTATTGGCATCTGTGCACACAGGATCGAATGCTAGTTGTGTAAAAATGATGGAGGGTGTTATATAATTGTATTGAACGACGAAAAATTTGTATTCAAGTATGCACTTACATTCTCATTAGGGACGACTGCATATCTCTGGGTCGGGGACACCCAAGTTTTTTCTGCTGATATAAACCCTCAATTAGTTAGTACAGCAACACAACTTGGATTTAACTAAAAACTGGACCAATGAATAAGGTTGTGGAAAAACACCTGATGATATATCAACTTTCGAGGCCTCAATGTGCTGTCCACTTGATCCATCCATACTTAGCGCCTCTATAATCTTCGGGACATTTCTACACCATCAAGGTAGAGTGAAAATCATTTAGATTTCACCAGAAAAGTTTAGCACCATTTGTAATAGTAAATGAAGTGTCCATAAAAATCTGACATCAACTAAATAAAAGTTTGCAAGAGTTGATGATAAATTTTTTCATTCAGCAAATTAAACATATTCATATACCAATGAGAATAAATATTCAAACGTTTATAAGTTTCAAGTCGAATAAATTCTAAAACAAAAGATAAAAAACAATTAGAAATGAGAAATGAGTTGGGAAAACATTACTGATCAACAGATTCACCATGGCCAAGCTGACCATTTGTACCCCTTCCCCATGAAAACACGTTTTGTCTGTCTGTAACAGCAAGTGTATGTCTCCAACCACATGAGATTTTCACTACGTTCTGCATGGAAAATCCAATTTACAAAAATCCAGTGACAGCTGACTTTTTCCAAACTACCAAGAGAGAGAGATTGAATTTTTTGTCACTTTAAAAGTCTAATGCTATCTAAGAATGGAGAATCAAGAGTTTACCTGATCCTGTGGAAATTTGACTTGCACAGGTGAGCAATGATCTAAGCTGTCGCCAGCACCAACTTGCCCAAACTTTACACATAGAAAGTCAAAATTCACAGTCAGTTCTATTCAACGTGAAAAAAAGGAAAAACAAAACAATTTTCAGGAAAATAGGATACAAAAATGACAGCATTGACATGTGAACAGAGATAAAAATTACGAGCCTACTTAAAAATAACAAAGTTCGATGCAGGCAGATAAAAACGATAGAGACCAGCTAATGAATGGACATAATCAAGGATATTTCTTGCAGAAGATCACAAATCAAAAAGTTTCTTGTATAACTTTCAGCAGGTGGCATTAACAAACCAAATAAAAACAATATTTCTGAGGATGAAATAAAACTGTATTGATCGACTTAATAATTCTCGTCAGATGTGGGGGGAATAGAGACAGAGAGCTTAAGCGCCTAAGCATGCCATTACGTAGATAGCACATAAAAAGTAATATGTATATTATCCTTTAACTTTGTAAATTCCTAGAGAATCATTGATACAGAGTAAAATATTGCTATGTTTAAGAGAGTGAAGTTTGGGACCTTGTTCCAGCCCCAGCCATAAAGTTTTCCATCACTTGTAACTGCCATTGTATGTCTCCATCCACCTGAAATCTGAACATGGAACTAACAAAATGTAAACAAAAAATACTAATAAAAAAAAAAATGCATGGTCTTGTAGTTACATATTCTATGTACATGGATAATGATAGAATACAGGTAGCAGAGATTTTTGAGATACTGAAAAAGACGTGTAAACGTGTCAAAGCTTAGGCCATAATGAAAGGATTCTTGTGTAAACAAGTATATTGGTGTGAAAGAAGTCATTACTTGAGATATACGACTTTCAGACAAAGCTTCCAGCTTATGAGGGATTAGGTGGTCTTCAAAATCCCCATGTCCTAGTTGGCCATATTTGCTCCACCCATAAGTATACAAACTACCTGAAGAGGAGACAGATATTGTATGTCGCCATCCACATGCGACCAGGACCATCCTGTCTCCCTACATTCAGTAATATAATCCAAGTTTAAGGGGATTAAAAGAAAAAGAAGGTTTAAACAAACTAAATTTAAAATATCATTTCATACCAGGGTAGGGAATACTTAGATTTATAGTTACGGTTATGTAAAATAAGAACTAAAGGGGTTTCATGGTGTGTAGAACTTGTGGATACCCTCTCTTTTTTCTTTTTATTTTTTCTTTTTTTCTTTCGGAACATAAACAATATTTCTGCAGTTCAAAGGGAACACTGGAGAAAATCACCGACCCTCAAAAGTTTCATGCCCAGCTTACAAATTATCTACAGAAACAAAAAGATCATTTTTGTCGGAAAAAAAGCCTATACACGACGCAATGATTACTTAAAAAGCTTCTTATCAATAAGGATAAAGAGAGAAGAAAAAATTATGTTGTTTGGTTTCACATACAACAACTTCCGTAATTATAACATACAATGTGCATTACATCATTAGTTTTTGGCTTTTTATTTTTAATAAGTTAATTTCAACTATACCAGATATAATTAATAGGAAAGAAGGGGTTAACAAGCCACTGGGATTTTCATTATCAAGTTTATTAGATCTAGCAATGTACTTTTCTTTTTCCAAAATCAAAATCCTACATGGATATATTGATAGATTTGTTGACAATGAGAAGAGAAAACTTACAAATAGGTCAGCAGAGAGCCTATGCTCTTCCATCATTCATAGAATTATGCATGGAATTTTGACATACCTCATTTGTCGAAACTTTGCCTGGCACTAATCGATCATCCCTGTCACCTAAACCCAAATTACCATATCGACCCCAACCCCAACCATAAAGTTGGCCATCCTCTGTCACAGCAGCTGTATGTTCGGCACCAGCAGCAACCATTTTGACTGAGATCCCCTATGAATGTACCAAGGCTTATATGAATCACTAAATAAATCACGAAAATGTGGGTACCACTAAATTGATCACATTTTTGTTGATTGATGATTTCCAACACCATTTGTATTCTATGGATCATATGACCTACCAATCAAGAAATGATGAAGATAGTGCTGAAAATTTCACAATGACAAGTAACCTGCTAATACCTGGAATGCTTCAATTTTTCGGGGTACAAGGGAATCTTCCGTGGTCCCAAGTCCAAGTTGACCATTTTGATTTCGCCCCCAACTTCAGTTTAAAAGAGGTAAGGTCAGCACACGACTCCAGCTTTTGTTTTTGGAAGACAGAATAAGATAAAAGGATCTTATGAATCAGGATGGATTTGAGTTAAGTTTAGTGCACTTATAGGAGACATTTTCTTCCAAATAAAAGCTATAAACAAATGTATAGTTACCGCTTGGAGCATCTTAAATAGTGTCCCATTCTGGAAGTTAAATTTGAGAGTGATAATATTTGTCAGTCATCAGAAAAACTCACTTTTATTTTCATCATTAAATGGAGAATGTACCGTTGGAAGTGTGAATGATACAAGCCACAATCTAACTTTATTGGCTGCCATCCTCATCCATACAATGCATTTTACAAGTCATACGACAGCCCATTAGATATTATACACTCACTAAAAATTATATATTTTTTCTCCTTTCTTTCTGATTTTTCTCTCCTCGGTTATCAGAGTTTTACTCCAAAGTCTCAGCATTCACGATTAAGATGTTATGTTACTTCACATTACTGATCTAAGGTAGTTACATACAAGAAATCTTCTTACAATAAAAGATTAGGAAGATTCTTCTTTAAGCATACATAAGCTTATCTTTTCAGATATTGATCATTTTTTGTCCAAAATATACAAATAAATAAAACACACTTTTCTGACATAGAACCCTGAAGATCTCAAGCAACCAACCTTTGAACCTGGCCTTCCATAGTCACTGCCAAACAATGGCTATCACCACAAGCAATCTGCCTTATCCGAAGGCCTTGTAAGGCTTTGATCGGTTGGGGAGAAAACAAGTCGCTAGAGTTACCATGGCCTAACCTCCCAAAATCACCCCTGCAACATGTTTTCATACTCTCACCAAATAATAGTAATACTGTACAGAGTCAACAATCAAGAATTCACAAAGATGAAAAAAAATATCACAAGAAAGTTTCTCAGCTAAGCATATCCCAGTACAAGCACTATCATCATTAACAACAACAACAATAACAATGATGATGATGATTATGATAGTAATAATAATAATCAATTGGTGATAGAATGGAATATACCATCCCCAGCTGTACACTTGTAGTTTCGATTCAGAATATGCAGTCGTGTGATCAGCTCCACAGGTAACAGAGACTATTTCTTGATCATTCAATGCACTCAGTTGAGTAGGAAAAAACCGATCTTCAGCATCCCCATGGCCTAGCTGCCCATCTTCTCCCCGTCCCCATGAGCAGACAACATTGCCAGCTGCAGTACATTTCCACATTGGCATCATACTTACTGTTTGAAAATCATATTTACTGGTAAAAAAATGCCCCTGATTTTAAATCTATCAACAATTTCCAGACTTAATAAAAAATGAGTATTTGGTTTAACTTCTTAAAAGTTCATACTATGTTTTAGATGAAAAAAAACTCAACTTCTAGTCGAATTCACAAAACTACCTTTTCAACTACCAAGTTCATACTATACACTTATTTTTCCAAAAATAATCTTTTATCTTTAGAAATATTTAAACATAACTAATACGTAGCTCGTGTGATGCACGGGACAATAATGATAATCTTATAAATTAAAGCAATGAATCAATATTGACGAGAATAAAATAGTTTTTAATATCAGTATTAGTTTTTATCTTTTCTTTTATTTTTATGATAATATTTTTATATAGGATTAATATGTGTTTATTCACCAAACTGTCATTTTAAAGTTCATATTTAAAATTAACATATTCAAACGTTATCAATAAATAAGACTCTCTCTCTCTCTCTCTCTCTCTCTCTCTCTCTCTCTCTCTCACATACCCTATTACAATATTATTTTGACTCTTAAATAGTGATGGTAAAGTTGAAAAACTTGGGTAAATATTACAAATTGACAATTAATTAAAAAAGAATATAGTTTTAATTTTTTTTTTATAATTTATAATAATGTATATTATAAACATTTAGAATGTTCTTTTTAATTTAATAATTCATATGATAGTTCAATATCGATTAATTTATCAATATAATTTATAACAATAAACATTATAAATATTTTTTTAAACTAACAATTTAAATCGTTGTTCGACAAATGAGTTGTTGGTTTACCAATATAATTTATAATACATATTATAAATATTTGTTTTCTTTTTCAAGTCAATAATTTACATAGATATTTCTGTTGGTTTGTCATCATAATTTGTAACAATATATAGTATAAATATTTTTATTTTTCTTTCTAAACATATAATTTATATAGCAGTTCGACAGATGACTCACCATCATAATTTATAACAATACATATTATAAATATTTTAATTCTTTATGATTTACTAATATACATATGAGTTTGACGAATAACCCGTTCGGTTATCATTCTAATATCTTATATACTTGATTCTCAAAATAATTGTTTACTTATATTTTTACATTTTTTTAGTAATACTTTTTAAAACCTTTGCATTTTTTTTATTACTTTTTTAAAGCCTTGAGAGATAACATACCAATTAGTATTTTATATTATTTTATACTAAACACATTTTCCTGTACATACATTTATATTTTATTATATAAATAAACAGAGACTAATTTCTCTTTTTTTATATCAATATTAAATAATAACTTTAAATTTATTTATATATTCAATATTAACTAATAATCTTATTATTGCTTTAGAAATAATTACTTTTTATTTACACATATAATATGAGTTCAAACCAAAAATCATAAAATAAAGGGTAATTTAATATTATATATAAACAAAAATGGATAACAAATAAAAATACTAAGTAAGTTTTTAGGCATTTTAGGAAATATATATTTTTTTTTTTAATTTACTAATAATTATTGTTGGACTGGTTAATCTCGTTAATTTACATTTTTCAAATCAAATAACATTCTAGATTAGGTAAAAATTGAATAATTGATTATGGATTTTTCGAAACTATAATCTCAAATAATGGATATCACATTATTAACTATAAAAATAAAAAATTACTAGGTAGAAATAAAATAGTTTGTTGAATAATTTCGTAGTTTAATCAATGGACTTAAATCAATTACTAATATCACATTACCTTAAATAATAATAAAAATCTCACCACGAATGTAAACTACTCTAGAGTAAAGAATGCCAAAATTTAAATTTTGTATTCAATCATTCGCGCTACATTTTACCCTCCATAAAATATATTAGTACAAAATAAATTTTAAATACAACTATAAATCAAAATTTAAAGTTACTAAACAAAATAAATAAGTATATTGATGTATATTTTCCTCTACTCCAGAGTAGTTAGAGTAAAATAACAGGATTGAGATGGTCTAATGGATTAAAGTGAAACTTGAGATACTCAAAAAGAGAATCAAATCTATATATAATGAAAGAAGTTGATGAAATGATCTAAAATAGTAACTTTAGTTTTGTAAAAAATAAGTTGACTTACTATTAAGGGAAATATAATAAAAAATACTTTACTGTTTATAATAAAATAAAAATTAAATTATACATGCCTATTGTAAATCGTGTAATCCCGATTCATAACAAGACTTTCTACATAAATAAGATGGTATCAGTTCTAAAAATTATTTTGTGATAATTATCGCAATAAAAAATTGATTTTTCATGTTAATTGCGGATCACTGCAATTTTTTATTCTTTTGTTAACCAACCATACAACATATCATAAAAAAAAATTTAAATATCATTCATTTTTAGAAAATATTATTTGAATATGCACAATAAGATTGCAAATATAATTATCACAATGTTACAATTGAATCTTATTTATCAACATTAACAACAAATCACGATGATTTCTTATTCATTTGGTATCTAACAATATACCAAAATATTTTTTATCGTATCGTCAAAAAATCATTTCATCGAGACGATTAGTTTAGAATCTTTTGTTTTTTCAATAACCCACCCGTTCCAGTTTTTCAAAAATTATAAACCTAATTTTTCAAAATATATATCAAAAGATATTAATTTAACTATTTATCTTTAATACCAAACCAATTTATACCCTTATTAACAAATCATGTGTTCTCCTGTTTTGTTGGGTACCCAGCCATATGTAGATCGAAATATGCAATAAAACATTGCAAAATATAAATACAAAATAAATTTAGAAATCAATTATAAAATTTTTATTGATATAACTACCACAATATTATAATAGAATTGATATCTCAACATTAATAACAAATCCCTACGAGTTCAAAACGAGCCATATACTAAAAATCATCTATTCAATGAGTTCAAAAATATCCTGTGATTTTATCAATACTAATTTTTTAAAAATTCATCTTGCGGTTCACAATATCATAACAAATCTCATATAAATTAACAGATTAAAAAAAATTAAAATATTTATAATATTATAAATTATAAGAAAAATTAAATATGATTGATGTAATTAAAAATTAATAATTTTGTTAACTTCAAATAATATATATTACAGTCATATTCAATTAAGAGTTGATTAAAATATTTGCCACAATTTTTCAACTTTAGCCTAACTTATTTAGAAATCAAATAATATATTGTAACAAAGTATGAGTAGGAGAAGATAGAGAGAGAGAGAGAGAGAAAAAGAGAGAGAATTATTGTGTGAGTATTATTTATTGATAATAATTGAATATGTTAAATTTTTATTATCCTTAACTAGTACGTAGCCCGTGCGATGCACGGGTCTGAGTTTCCAGATGGCTTGTCCTTTAGGTTTAAAAAAATAGAGTTAGATCATCTATTTTACACCTCTTTTGATCATCGTTATTTTTTTAGTGATAACGTTAAACCGCAACCTATTAGCTCTAGTATGTAAATTAATTAATATATTATCTCGCTAAAACGTTGATACTAATATAAATTTGATTTTAATATATGTATTTATTCTTTAATATAAAAAATAATAGTTTTACATATTCTGGTATAATACTTAATCTTTTATTTTATCGTAAAATTTATGGTCATTATAATTTTTTAATAAATATTTTAGAAAATAAAAAAAATATTTATCTATTTACAAACTCATTATCTCGAGTTTGAAACCATAAATTTTATTCTTAAAATAAAATTTGAAAAATTTTAACTTGTAATCAGAGATGAATTTGAATTGATTTGACATTCCTAATCCATCTCAAATTTATTTTGTTGAAAAAAAGCTATCCAAAATGTTTATACCAAGAGTCCTAATATTTTTAAATTGTAAAAAGTCTGCATGCAAAATATCTCCACTGACTTTGGCGGACCACAATATCGTATTTGATTCAACAAATTAATTAATTTTAGGAAGTGAATAGTTGTGTATGTATATGGAAGAAATTTGAAAATTCAAATTCCAAAACCAATACCACAATATCATATTTGATTCAACAAATTAATTAATTTTAGGAAGTGAATAGTTGCATATGTATATGGAAGAAATTTGAAAATTCAAATTCCAAAACCAATATCGTATGTAATGGGTTTATATCAAGTTCCCAATTTTTTCAAAATTGTATAAATCCTTCATGCAAGAAATCTTCACTAATTTGAGGACCAACAAATTACTTAAATTTAGGAAGACATAAATTGTGTACGTGGATACTGTTTCTGTTGTATGTTTAAAGAAAATAAATTCAAAAATGGTATTGATATGGGATTGTATTATGAGGGATTTAACAAAAATACAAATTTTTAGGATACGATTTGATTTGAATTTTTAAAATTGAATTCCACTTTTTTAGGCCGCCTAAGTCAAATGATTATAAGGATTAATGTTAATAAAAAAAGAAAAAAAAAATCCAAAAATAGTAAGCAATTAATGTTGTCCTAAAATTTCTAGTTACTATCTATACTTATATTAAAAGGAGTCCTATTTACTAAATTTAGTAGCTAGAAAAGTCAACAACATTTATTTTCATTACTATTTCCATATTATACAGTTTTATTTAATATTTGTTTTCCTGTTACGATTTTTAAAAACAGATATGGTCAAATTCTCTCATCGTTAATTACTTTCTATTAATTATAATTTATTTATTTATTATTTTATTAGCAAAAACGGACCAACATTAATTGATTTTCTTAAAATGTGGAAGTTGTTGCTTTATTTTTGTACAGAAAATCGGGCTTCATTATAGAAATTTGTTCAATTACACAATGAATTTGCTATGATATAATTATTTTTTATAGGAACCTTTTTTTTCAACATAAAAATATGGCATTTCAATAAGATTTTCGATTTTTTAAGACTGATTTTTATCATGCTATGAAATTGAACATTCCAATATACCTTAATAAAATATACACGTGGTGTATACATCAGTTAATAGAAATATAGAATCCTCATATTTTTATATATATGTATGTAATTTTTCTATTACCAAATTTAATTGATAGTTGTTGTGTTATGGGTTTTTTCATAATTGTTACTTGGGTGTTGTGATATTTAGTTTGGTTGGTGTCACAAAAATTCTAATCTATATATATAATAAGAATAATCATTACAATGCAAATTAGAAAAATATTGATATTAGAAGAGATTGAGTTCATGGCTTTTCTTAAATCAAAGTTGTTTAATTAGTATACAAAATTAAATTCTAAAAAAATATATGTGTATATTTTGTACATTATTTATACACTATTTAATTTTAAATTTATTTACGTATTTTAAATTGATTACTTATATAAATAATACTAACGTGCATTAAATATATTTTTACATAAAATAAAAAGAACAAGAAGACGTGCAACTTGTATAACTTTATAAATAATAATGACATTATATGGCAACAGAGTTTAATAATTAACTATTATATAGTGAATAAGAATAAGTAAAATTGTTATTTTCTCTTATATCAAGGAACAAATATATATAATAAAATTAAATTTATATTAGTATAAATGTGTTAGTGAGATAATATATTAATTATTTTACAAGTTAGCCCTAACATGCTCATGTTTAATGTTCTGACTAATAAAACAACGCTGATTAAAAGATGTGAAAAATATATTACAACCCTATTTTTTAGACTTAACTGTGATTAAAAGAGGTAGAAAATAGATGATAACTCTTTTCAGACTGAAACGAGACTTAACGGTGATTAAAATAGGTGGAAAATGGATAATAACCCTTCTCAGACTTAAACGGACAGAGCCTGTGAAAATAATTCATTTAATATTTCTCTCCCGTGTATCGCACGGGATACGTACTAGTTTATGCTAAATAGTAATTCTTATTATATATATAGATTATAAACAGGATCTAAAATGACAACTATTTTATAACGAGTGAAATAAGTATCTAAATTATATATTAAATTATTATATATCAAATAATAAATAAATATTAATATTCGAAACTATTTTTATACTAATCATTATTGTTTCATTGTTTTAATACATTCAATTATAATTATTGTCACGTGCATCCCACGGACTATGTACTAATACACTGAAAGAGGTATGCTAAATTGTTTTATAAAATAATAGTGCAATTAACAGCAACTTGGTGAGACTTGAGAAAGTGTAATCTACATATTCCCCCTAATTGCAGTGGCAGTCTCGCAGCTTCGTAATCCTACTTGGCGAAAAAACATGCTTCGTAGTTTGGTTTGGATAAAAAATAATATTATTCTAAATCAATAATTTTAGATTCGGACATTCCAAAAATATTGAAAAACTAACTTGGCAATTCCATAATAGTTTGACTAATATAACCCTTAAGTTATATTGGAACATTCAATAATGATATTGATTGACTAATATAACCTTAGAAGCTCTCAAATCGGCTCATTATTTCCATGAAAATCTCAAGTTAGCCTAATAAATACATATATTTAATTTTAAACAATTGTTGTTGTTATTATTATTTAATTTTAAAAATAATTTTCTTAACAAGTACTTGTGTAGTACATGAGTATTATACTAGTGAAAGTATAATAGGGAGAAAAAATATACAGCATTTATGCTTTATAATTAATTAGCACGTACCCACAAGATCTATTTATTTAATATTATTATTTATTTATATATTTATTTTGCTTCATTGTGACAAAACTTATATTATTTTGAAGTATAAATTTTATAATTTTCATTTACAATATATGAAAAACAATTAACTAACTTAATCATTTTTTTAATTATTAATTTTTATATTATGAAACTCATATTTTTTTTAATTTATAAATATTTATAATGTGAATAATTTGTTTTTTCTTGTGAGTGACTAATATAGTTGTTCGAAAGACAGCTATCCAAAAATATTTGTCAAATTTAGATTAAAAAGAAAAAAAAAACACTACGGTCATAGGAAAAAGTCAGTAACCATTGTTTTTGAATCTATACTTATATAAAAAGCCATCCTATTTACTAGAAATAGTAGGCAGAAAAGTCAAAGGTAATTAATGTTTCCTGGAAATAGAATGACATTAATTACAGATTTATTTTGGTATGTTATGGGATAAAAATCAAAACCGATTTTTGTACCTTTGCTGAAAAAGTCAAAGGTAAGAGCATCTCCAATGCTCAATGTTGTAGTGCCAAATTACATTCCACATCAACACATTTCTTAATATCATAACTTTTCATCCTCCAATGTACAATGTGATCACAAATGTTGTGATGAAGTGGACATAATTAATGTCTACAATGTAGAGAAGAATGTGGTTCATCCACATTCTCATCCACACTCTAGCTAGCCAATAAAGAGAAGAGAGAGACTTGCTATTACCATTTTCAAACTATTTAATTATTTAATTAATTCTATTAATTCATATTAAAATTTTAATATTTGGTAAGTAGATAATATTGTAATTAGTCTACATATGCATTGAAGATGATTCTTTAATTTAATAGTTCTGAACTCAACATTTGTCCTACATGTATCACAATCTATTTAATTTTTTTACATCTGTCAAAATTTATCCTACAACAATATTAGAGCATTGGAGATGCTTTAAGTATAGATTTGTTTTATTCCATAACAGTTTAGTTAAAAAATCCCATCAAATCTGTTTTATATGTCAAGCCTATAAATAAAGATTTAATCGGTCAAAATTAAATATTTATTTTATGTCACCCATAAATAAAGCAGATATCAAGCCTAAATTGAAGGGTTTAGTTGTCTATATAGTTATTGATTTACGTAAATACATCTAATGTTTAAAGCTTGTGTAGATTGAAAATTCCCTCTTATCTTTTTACAAAAAATTTTATTATTATTGTATGGAAAATCAAACTCATAATATTGTGTACAAGGAAGTCTTTAATAATATATGATTGTTTTTTTTTGTTTGTCGAATAATCTCTTATTGTACAATTTTCCTGCGTATTATAAATTTTTTATTGAATATCTCGTACATTTTCCTGTGTTAATGTATATAATTAGAAGCTTGGATAAATAGCCTTAAAATTGTGCACACCGTGCATCGCACGAGCTCTGTACTAGTTTTGGCCCAAAATCTATATTGTCAAGTATTAAATAAGTTAAGCTCACAACTTCCCAAGCCAGGCACATCGATTATTATGTTAAATTACCACAATACCCTCTATCAACTTCAGAAATACCAAACTAGTGACGTGGATCATTACAGTCCATGCAAAAACATGAGAGAATGGATTTCCAATCTCTAACCATATTTACCTCCAAATTTCACATAAAATCACCACAGTGAAAGCCGATTCGAGTTACGAAGAAGAACTCAATCAAAACTGAATAAATTAGATTAAAATAGAAAAAGAAAGGAAAATAATAACGATAGAAAGGCATTGGCCAATTTCCCAAAATTGATCATCGAAACTTACAGAGGAGGGCAACGGAATGACTAGCGCCAGCGGAGATGAGGAGAACTCGCCGAATCGGGCCGGAAGCAGCTCGGACGCCGCTGCCGCTACTGCTGCTGCTCTGTATTTGCCCTTCCTCCGCCATCTTCTTCTTCCTCTTTATTTTTTATTTTTCTTTGTTCTTTTCTAAATAAAAAATAAAAAAAAAATCTGCGGGTGTGAAAACGTCAGAGAGCGTAAGTGAGAGAGATATTCAGAAGTATCTAACTAGGGATTTTTTGGTTAAAAAAAAAGGGTAATTTTTGGTGAGGAGAGGTTGAGGAAGATGAAAGGATAGGAGAGAGGTGCAGGAGTATTTAAATAGTGAGAGGGACGGGGAAGCACGTGCCTCTTACTGCCTCTGCCGCCTACCTACTTGAATCGGATGTTATTTACTTTTAACTCTCTACTGTACTGTTGCGAGGTGGGACTGTTATTCAATTTTGTTTTCCCATTGGATATGCCATTTTCAACATGCTAGCGCGTGTGACAGAATGATTGAGGCCGAGGGTGATATGTTCTATGAAAAGTAATTACTACATACTTTAATATGAAATGAAACTAATAATAAGGTTACATACTGAATAATATAGTGATTAAATGTAGGGGTTTCCCACCAAATCCCGAAAGTCTTTTTTTACTACTAGTGTATATCCCGTGCGATGCACGGAAGAGTTCATATTTTAAACATTTAGACTTTATTTTAAATATAATTATTTATATTTTTCACATCTCGTCTATTATGAAAATAAAATAAATACAATCAATGAAAAATATATAATATTAAATACTTTTCTTTATACAATATTTTTTATTTAAGGAATATTATTAAACCTTACGGTTTTGATTTGTTTTTTAAAATCAATAATCCAAAATATATGATTGTTAACGTACAAAAAATAATGGAAATAATCCAGACTTTAAAATAAAGCTATTTTTTATTATTTTACAAATAAAAATTTTCCAATTTTTTTTTAATTTCAAAAAAAAATTTGGCAAGTTTGATAATGAGTTAAATCAAGTTATACAAATGATTAAATAGTTAAAATGTTATATTAATTATATTTTAAGAAATCCGATTATATAAAAATGGGTAAAAAAATATTATACTAATTAGTTTGTTAGGATTGTGATTATATGGAAGTTAAAATAAAATGAAATGTAACCAAAAAATTTGTTCATGGTTTTTTCCTAAATGTTTGAATTTAAAAATCTAGTAACCAAATTTACATTATATCACGTAAGGAAAAAAAATAAATAATAAATATTTATTAAAGAGATAAATCAATAATATTTATCACTTAGATAATAAATAATAAATATTTACATGTAAAAAAATAAATAATAATATATTAAAAAATATAAGTCAGAATTTCAAATAAAGTAAAAGGAGGGATAACTCATTTTTTAAAAAAAGTTTCTAAATATTTAATATATTGATAAGTATCTCCATAAGAATATTCATACCATTTTAATTTTAAAAAAATTGGCAAGTTTGTTAGAGAGATTAATCCGGTTAGACAAATGATTAATTTGTTAAGATATTATATTAATTGTATCATAAAAAATCGGTTAGATAATACAGATAAAAAAATATAATACTAATTAGTTTGTTAGAAATGTGATAATGAAAACCAAGATAAAATGAATTTACCCAAAAAAATTGTTTGGAATCTTTTCTTTTAAATGTTTGAATTTATAAATTTAATACCAAAATTCTATTATATCACATAAGGAAAAAATAAATAATAAACGTTTATTAATATATTAAAATATGTAATTTTGAATTTCATATAAAGTAAAAGGTATGCTTATTCAAATTTATTTTTAAAATAAAAGTTATGATAAACATTTATTGATTCTCTTTCAAATATATTAATAAAATAAAAATATAAATCTAAACAAATTTTGAAACAACCAAAAAAATCGGATTGATTGGCATAAAAAAAGGAAGTGAAATCGGATTTGAATGCTAAAATCGGAACACCTTACCAAATTGAATGCTAAAAGATTCGATTTGATTGGTTACCCAATTGCATGGGCTGAAAAAATTCAAAAAAAAAAAATTTACGAATTGAAGAAGCGGGAAAAACACTATATTGAAGCGGGAAAACGAAATGATTATTTTCGGATTGTTCAAATAATTTTTCTTCTCCATATTATATAGTAATAGATTTCTAATCACTTCTTCGTTTATTTTTTTTTACTATGCACGCTTAATCATACATAAATTTTAATTCGCACTTAACTTCCTAACTAGTACGTACCCCGTGCGATGCACAGGAGAGAGATATTAAATGAATTATTTTCACAAGCTCTGTCTGTTTAAGTCTGAGAAGGGTTATTATCCATTTTTCACCTATTTTAATCATCGTTAAGTTTCGTTTAAGTCTGAAAAAAGTTATCATCTATTTGACCGTTAAGTCTAAAAAAATAGGGTTGTAATCTATTTTTCACATCTTTTAATCAGCGTTGTTTTATTAGTCAGAACATTAAACATGAGCATGTTAGGGCTAACCTGTAAAATAATTAATATATTATCTCACTAACACATTTATACTAATATAAATTTAATTTTATTATATATATTTATTCCTTGATATAAGAGAAAATAACAATTTTACTTATTCTTATTCACTATATAATAGTTAACTATTAAACTCTGTTGCCATATAATGTCATTATTATTTATAAAGTTATACAAGTTACACGTCTTCTTGTTTTTTTTATTTTATGTAATGAAATATATTTAATGCACGTTGCTATTATTTATAAAAGTAATCAATTTAAAATATGTAAATAAATTTAAAATTAAATAGTGTATAAATAATGTACAAAATATACACACATATTTTTTTAGAATTTAATTTTGTCTACTAATTAAACAACTTTGATTTAAGAAAAGACATGAACTCAATCTCTTCTAATATCAATATTTTTCTAATTTGCATTGTAATGATTATTCTTATTATATATATAGATTAGAATTTTTGCGACAACAACCAAACTAAATATCACAACAACCAAGTAACAATTATGAAAAAACTCATAACACAACAACTATAAATTAAATTTGGTAATAGAAAAATTACATACGTATATATAAAAATATGAGGATTCTATATTTCTATTAACTGATGTATACACCACGTGTATATTTTGTTAAGGTATATTGGAATTTTCAATTTCATATCATGATAACGATTAGTCTTAAAAAATCGAAAAGCTTATTGAAATGCCATATTTTTCTGTTAAAAAAAAAGTTCCCGTAAAAATTAATTATATCATAGAAAATTCATTGTGTAATTGAACAAATTTTTATAATGAAGCCCAATTTTCTGTACAAAAATAAAACAACAACTTCCACATTTTAAGAAAATCAATTAATGTTGGTCTGTTTTTGCTAAGAAAATAATAAATAAATAAATTATAATTAATGAAAAGTAATTAATGATGAGAGAATTTGACCATATCTGTTTTTAAAAATTGTAACAGAAAAACAAATATTAAATAAAACTGTATAATACGGAAATAGTAATGATAATAAATACTGTTGACTTTTCTAGCTACTAAATTTGGTAAATAGGACTCCCTTTAATATAAGTATAGATGCTAAAAAATACATAGATTCGTCAAAATATCACAAAACTCTCCACTATCAACTCTCAACATTTTTTTTATTTGCTTTGTTTCTTTTTCCACAACTATCCTCTCTCCCGTCAGCCCTTTCCTTTCCCCTTTCCCTCCGTCAGATTTTTTTCTAGACAGTTTCTCCAATGACAAGAAGAATTTCGGCGAACGTCTTATATGAAGAATTCCAGTGACAGACGATCGAGACGAACTCCAACGAACGACTTTTTTTCTGGTGAAATTTCGACTTTTTTCTGTCGAACTCCTAACTCGTCGTTTTCCAGCGAAAAAGGTGGTCAGTCTTTATGTATTTACTGAGGAGTCCGAACCCGTCCTTTATTAATTATTTTTTTCCTAAAACCTTGTTCTTCATATTTTGTTGAGGAATCAACTTTGAATATTGTTATTCATATTCACTCTAAAACAAAGAATATGACAATAATCTCTTTGTTGTTGTTCATATCTACCAACCATATATGTAGGTTATGTTTGTTTCTCATAGATGATCATTGTACCACTAATGCATGTTTATGGTTCCTTTGTTTGAGTAATATAGTACATCTATATATCTTCAGTATTTGATACTAGTTTGTGCTGAGAACTTTGAAGTTTATTTTATTTAACACATTTAAAATTTTATATTAATGTTAGATACAACGGATGGGGCACAAACTAAGTTATTTGAAAGTTGTTCTTACAATAATGAATTGTTTATCTTCTATATACACGTCGGATTGAGTCTGAAACAAATATACACCCTTATTGGTAAGAGATGGCCAGATGTAAATTCATAATTCTTCCTCTTATGCAACATTTCACCCCATGAAAAAAAGGCAATTAAGTTTGTTTGATGATGACGATATGAAGAACATCTTTCGCTTGCACGTGTGTTGAAAAGTAAGCTTTGTAAATATGCTTGTCGTTAAAAAAAATGAAAAACTGGATCATGAAGTTCAATCCATCTCGATGAGCAGGTAATGTTGATTCCTATATGAGCAATGAATTTGTTAACGAGCAACGGTTCTTAGTTATGGAACTAAGAGTGTTATAGATCTTATTTATGTGAGGACTTGGTGTATATTGATGTACAATGGAGTAAGAAACTATGGAAACAAAGAGTACACATGATTTTGACGATCTGTTGGGAGATCGGCAAGGAGAGTGAATTCTCCAAGACAGTGATTGTTGAGAGTTTTTTTTATTTTTTTATTTTATTTTTATTTTTTATTTTTTTTTACAATGACAACTCTCATATGTTGTGTTTGAGCTTGTTGTTTGTGGGGTTCTCTCATGTTATAGTTTTGATTTTTTATGGGTAAATATTATATGCGTGTTTGGTGTTTGCAACTAAAAGTTTTTTTTTTTTTAATTTGTAATATGGCTAAAAATTTGGATCTAGCTCGAACATGGTGGTAAAAAAACAGCAAAATGTGAGAGAGTAAGCAGGTCGAGAAATATCAAAGGAAGGTCGATGTAGTGCCCCGTTTCATTTTTAAAGAGCATACTTCATTCATGCATTTTATTTTATTTAGCTTGACTTTTCTTTTACTAGAAATTAAGTGGATGTTCTCGTCCATTTAATTTTATTAATAAATAGAGATTAATTAGATGTCCCCATATATTTAATTTTCCTGAATTAAATTCTTTTAATCTTAATTTTTATTAATTAATTGAAGTCCTAAGCAAGAAATGAGAAGGAGAAATAATCTAAGATAATTAAGCACATAAATTTGGCACCTTCTTTTTATATAGCCGTGTATTTGAGAGAGAAAGAGAGTCCAAGATATTTTATTTTCCTCTTTCCCCAAGTAAATGAATCCCACAAGGAAGGAGAATCCAAGTTACCTTAAATTCTTCCTCACCAAG